GGGGAGCGCGGGGGGTGCTTGCCCCCGCCCTGCCCCCCCCCGAGGAGCCACCACCAGCACGGCCAGGGGGCACAGTGCCGGGCAGAGCCCTCGCCTCCATCGCCCTCCTCGCCTACGGTTACTTCATCCTGCCGCTGCCACCCTACGCTGCCGGCCTCTGCCTGGGGCTCATCTGCGGGCTGGTGCTGGGCTTCCTCGCCGTCCTCCTCCTCGTCCGAAAGCCTTCACCGGTGGCACGGAGACCACGGGGCCACCTGCGCCCTGAGCTGCTCCTGAGGGAGCCGTGGGAAACCCACCACCTCCAGGTAGGAGATGTATGGTCCAGGATGGGGTGCTGGGTGGCAACTGGAGGGGTCTCCCGGGTCTCGGGGTGCAGCACTGAGGGGGTGTCGAGCCCACGGTGGGTGCTGGCTGCCATCCCATATGGCACAGCGGGAAGCAGCCGTCTCCCTCTCCTCCCACCCAGGGCTGGATGAACCAGCTGCATGTCTACGACCCTGAGCTTTTCCACCCCTCACTCACGCACTCAGTGCTCGCCACGCTAGACGGGGCCACCCTCAAGCTCTCCTACCCCAAGAGCAACATCCCGCGCCGAGCCACCTTTGAGGAGGAAATCCTCGACGCCGTCCTCGTCAGCCACCGCTACTACGACCTGACTGATGCCAAGGCGAGTCCAGCACTGCCAAGGACCCTCCTGTGGGAGTGGGAGGACTCTCCCTTTGAGGGGACCCCCAGTTCCCTCACCTCACCACCACTTTTGGTGTTGTAGGTCTTCCTCTGTCCCCCCAGCCTAGCCCGAAAACGGACATGGAACAAGAAATACCCCATCTGCGTCCTTCTCCCCAACCCGGTGGACATAGAGTGCAGGAGCAGTGAGGAGCATGACACGGAGCTGCAGAGGGATGAAGGGACGAAGAAGGTGTCGGTGCCAGGGCAGGACATTCCAGGGGACTGCAGGGAGAGGTGCCTGTACCTCTTTGGGCGGACAGGGAGGGAGAAGGAGGAGTGGTACCAACACCTCGTGCGAGCATCCCGTGGGACCGCCAGCAGCAGCCGTGGCGAAGCCAGGGCAGGTGAGAAGCAGCCATTGTGGCCTCTAGTCCGTTCCGGGACTGGTCTGGGGTGGGAGCTGCATGTGTGCTGGGAGGACAAGCCAGGCAGCAGTGAGTGTAGGGGGAGATGGAGGAGCCCAGAGCGTTTACAGCAGCAGGGAGAGCCTGGAGGAACCCCTTTGCCAGCGTAGGGTGGGTGGCATGTCAGTGGCATCGTGGACGGGCAGCACGTCACTGCATGTGCATTACGGCACATCACTTCTCATGCCATCCTGACCTCCTCATGTCCCCACATCCCCCAGGTGTGGGACCAGCTCCGCGGAGCAGTGGCAGCAGCAGCGGAGGGAGCACCGACGACATCCCCTCTGCCATCCCACCCAAGGACCTGGCGGGAAGCGTCCAACAGATTTTCCTGGATTACAGCACCTACATGGCCCGATTCGTGCCGGCACAGGCCGGGGGTAGCCCGGACCGGAGCCCCTCTCATGGAGCACTGGGCAGCCCCACACCCACAAAGGTGAGTGGGACAAATCCAGCACTGGGAGAGGAACGTCAGTGCTAAGCGGAGGCTGATGGACCCTGTGTGCGGCCGCTTCCAGTCCTGTGGTTTGTCTCCTCCCTCCCGGCACCACGGTTTGGGCAGCCAAGCCGTGCAAGGGAGCACCCAGCCAGTGGGTCCCACCTCTCATGGGGCCACCTCACGCTAGGAGCTTGTGGCTTCTGTCCCTCCACAGCTCGGTGAGGACACGGCCAGGCGCAGCGAGGCATGCATGGCCTGGATGAACGCGCTGGTGGGGCGCATCTTCTGGGACTTCCTCCGGGAGCAATACTGGGCTGAGCAAGTGTCCAACAAGATCCAGAAGAAGCTGAGCAAGATCAAGGTGAGAGACAGGAGCATTGCAGCACTCAGAGGAGCCCCGTCCCCTCCCCGAGGCCCCACAGTGGGTGCCAGGCTGTGGTGACCATCCCCATGTGGTTTCCCTCCATCAGCTCCCATATTTCATGAATGAGCTGACGCTCACGGAGCTGGACATGGGCACATCCATCCCCTCGGTCCTCAGTGCCTCCAACCCCACCATCAATGACCGAGGTAAGAGCCCCGCAGAGTGGCAGGGACCCCAGGGCTGGCCCCAGGGCAGCTGTTACCAAGGTGCCAGCCCGGTCCCTGAAGAAGGGAGGTTTTGGCAGGCACGCGAGCAGCCCTCATCCCCTGCGGTGCTGACAGGGGCTCGCTCCATCCTTCTCCCTGGCAGGGCTCTGGGTGGACATGGAGGTCACCTACAGCGGCTCATTGCAGATGACACTGGAGACAAAGATGAACCTCTGCAAGCTGGGGAAGGAGAGTGCTGCAGAGGAGAGTGGCCCGGCTGAGGCAGGCGGAGAGGGGTAAGGAGACTGTGTGTGGCTGGGCTTCACCCTCCTCCTCCCCTCGCCTGAGCAGGGGGTGCTGGCCCCAGGGCCCCCCTGTGATACTCCCTGGGGCTCACAGGTCCAGGCCACGGCTGATCCTGCTGGCAGACAGCGATGCGGAGTCGTCCAGCGCCGGCTCCTCCGATGAGGAGGACATTGCCACTGCAGAGCCCACGGGAGCGCTGGGGGAGCGGGTCCCACCGCCCGGCACTGAGGGGTAAGGGGCTGTTTGGGGACTGTGCTGTGGGGAGGATGGGGAGATGCTGACGGAGGCACAGCACTACGCCGGCACAGGGGCTCGGGGCTGGTTTCCCCGGGAAGGCACACACAGGCACCCCGGCACATCATGGCAGCCCTTCGTAGGGGACTCCTGTCCCCATGGGGTTTGCACGGCAGGTGGCTGGGGGATGCCGAAACCCAGCACAGCTCTGGGTCTCACCCCGCTGCGGAGCTGCGGCTCCCTTCACTTTAGTCACGTCAGTGGTAACAGCACAAGCCGGAAGATCCTGCGCTTTGTGGATAAGATCGCCAAGTCCAAGTACTTCCAGAAAGCCACTGAAAACGAGTTCATCAAAAAGAAGATCGAGGAGGTTTCCAACACACCGCTGCTGCTGACGGTGGAGGTGCAGGAGCTGGCAGGGACCTTGGCTGTGAACATCCCCCCGCCGCCAACAGACCGTGTCTGGTACCAGCTCGCCTTCCTCCTGCGTGGGGATCCACGTGCATCCTCCCTCCAGCTCCCCTTGCTCCTGGTGGCTCAGCCACGGAGCCAGCTCTGGGGCTTCGGGACACAATGCTTTCTGCCTCTTTCCTTTCCCCTCACAGGTACAGCTTCCGAGTCCCGCCCCAGCTGGAGCTGAAGGTGCGCCCAAAGCTCGGCGAGCGGGAGGTGACATTCCTCCATGTCACCGAGTGGATTGAGAAGAAGCTGCAGCACGAATTTCAGGTACCTGTCACGAAGGTCTGGGTCTGTTAAAGGGCTCAGCAAACCCTGCTGGAGCATAGGTGTTGCTGCGATCAGGGATGATCAGACCTCACCCTGAGATATCCAGAGCTGGTAATCCTCTAGGGCCAGGCACAGTCAGCTGCTGACAAGGGGATGGGAGTCCAGGACCTTCTGTTCACAGTCCTGGTCTCTGAGCCAAGTTCCCGTGGCTCCTGCCAAGGCCACGTGCAGGCAGATGTGTCACCAGTCAGGTAGTGGCATTCAAAACCACTTACTTTTTATTCTGGATTCCTCTTTTCAGAAAATTTTGGTGATGCCAAACATGGACGATCTCATTATTCCCATCATGCATTCTGGCCTGGATCCTCAGCCACACACTGGGGGACTGCCCAGGGACCTACCAGCCAAGGGAGAGAAGAGACCTTGAAGCACAGCCCCATGGGGAGGGAAGAGACATTGCACAGAGCTCAGGGACCTCGCTGGGACACGGAGCCAGCCAGGACCTGGCCACTGACTGCATCCAGGGCTATGCCAGGGGGTTTGAGCTTCCCGGTTCATCTCATCTTCAGCACTTTCGTAGATGAGCCTCCTTCTTAAATACTGCAAGCACATATTCAGAGCAGAACCAGACCCAGGGCAAGGGGTTTGCTGGAGACCCAAGAACTTCATGCACCTCCTACCAGGTCCCCAGGACTCATGGTCAAGGGGGCAGGTCTGGACCAGCAGAGGGCTGGTCTTTCCACCGTCTGTTCCCAAAGAGGATGCAGGATGCCCAGACCGGTTCTGCACTGAAGGAGTTGTGATCACTGCTGATCCAAGACATCACAGCTCTAAGATGCATCACACCCTCCCCGCAGCTGGACTGCAAAGAAAACATGGGTGGGAAATGAGTCCAAAATTCAAATAAATCCATCACTGACCGGTCTTACCTAGCAGCCATCTTATCATACACAAGTTCCCACATCTGCTGAGGGTGCCAGCTGGGATCATGGGGCTTTGTGCACAGAGAAGTCCACGGGTAATACTTTCAGCTCAGCAAAAGTAGTGCCTGGGTATGCATGTGTGACAGACGGTGAGGGGAGAGATGGTCAGTGAGACTGGGCAGAGGCAGGTAACAGGGAGTGCCCGTATCCCCAGCAGAAACTGGAGCAGAACTGGGGTACCCACTCTGCTGTCCTCTGCAAGAGAGGAAGGGGAGTCTTCGCTGTGGTTTGGGTGAATGCAGGCAGTGGAAAAAAATTCACTGAGCAAGGGAAAGGGAGGATCCAGAGGACAGAGCAGACATTTGGATGTCCCAGTTAGTCCCTGTCCATGTGGTCCAGCCCAAAGTGCTACTTGTGCCACCCTCACCTGCTGAGGAGCCTCAAGGACACACTGTTGCCCACAGGCAGCACTGAATACAGGTAAGACACCCCTCCAGAAGGAAGACAGGCAGCAGGCACGGCTGGAAGCATTTTTATTGAAGGTGCCCAGCTATGTAGCCTTGCATATCTCAGTCCTTACAGCTCTTCCTGCACTCCTGGCTTCCCTTTCACCAAGTGTTTCTTCTGAGGGCCCTGGAAGAGAGCAGAGAGGAGAGCTCTCAGTGTTAGTGGTAGACAAACCTGGCCTACAAGGCTGCATGTGAGCTGTGTGGAGCAAAACTGCAGGTCTGGCCCCTTTCTGCTGTGCAAGGCAGCTCCTGGTCTCTGCTTTCCAGCCGGGAGCTCTGTGCCACCATTCACCAGCCACCCCTGCGGGAATCAGGAGCAGAACACCATCGCCCTTGCACAAAGGCTTTGTTTCTCTGGACAGCACAAAAGCGACCAGAGTGTCAATGAGTGACCTGCTCCGAGCCAGGCGGGCTGGCCTACAGTCAGGGCCCATGGAGGGAAGCAGTCATTGGGCTGATGAATGCTATACCAGGAGCCCACTGTGGTGGACCACTTCTGAGCTGCTGTACAAGCCCTGGAGGAGGCAAGGCCTCCCACAGCCAAAGGCACAGATTCTCATCAGCCAACTCAACAGAGCCTGAGGGCTTTCCACTAGCTAATGTCCCAGACCAAGTAAGTCCTGTGGGAGCAGGTGGCAAGAATTACTTATGTGCCTCTACTTCCAGCCAAATGTAAAGCTTTACCACAGTACATCTGGGGGGAACTCTCACCCCACAGTAGAAAATGGCAAAGAAAACATCTGCAACCAGGTAAAACCACCTCCTGTCAGTAAGGTCCCTGTCACAGCTACTCAGGACTTGCGGCGACAGCAAGAGCGGAATGCAGAACAAGCTCCTAACACTGAGATAAAGGAAAACAGCTTAACCTCTAAAGAGCTCTGCAAAGGCACTGCATAGCCAATCCCCCTTTCCAGGGCTAAGGAGGCTTAGCCAGTTTCACATGGGATTTGTAGCTGACAGGCCAGATCCAGACACAGTTTACATCCGCGTGGTATCCAGGCAGTTGTTTCTTTCATTTCTGCTGGCTTACTTAACGCTTCCTCAATTTCACATTCAGACTCATGCACCAGCGCGGTCTAGGTTGCAAAACTATTCAAGAAACTCTGCTTGTTTTGGATTTATTTAAACTTTTTTTTCCCCCCTAAATTTAAGAAAAATATACTGCTCGGCCTATTGAAAGCTTCCTGACAAAAAAATCACAAATTTGTGACGGAATTTGACCCAACCTTTTCCTCTTAAGAACATTAAAGATATAAATCATTCCAAACAAATCAAAGAAGTGCACAATTACGGGTGAAAGGGACCATATGTCCAAGGCAGTGCCTGCCAAGTTAACTGCTTGTTTAAAACATCCTGTGGTGAATGGAAACTGGTTGGCCATATGGTATATTATTTGCTAGTTGGGTTGTCTTGGATCACTTGCACAACCATCATGTTCTTCCTTCACATGATAACTGCTGTGTGAATTGAATTCATGCCTGTCTTTTATGCAAGACAGTCCTGATCACTCATTTGGCTGTTGTTATATCGAGAAGCAGATGCTTGGTTGGAGTCAAATCAGTTGCTTTAGCCCCAGCTGCGAGCATGGCCCAGGAGCTGAAGCCGGCGCAGAATGTAACTCACCATGAAAGCCCGCTTCTCCTGAGCTGTCTGGAAGCGGCCATGGCCAAATTTGGAAGTAGTATCAATGAATTTAAGTTCAATGGCTTCCTGAGCCCGGCGGCTTGTATGGACAAGAAGGGACTGGAAAAGAGGAGTTACAATGCATCAGACATCTTTACAGAAAATCTGGACATCTGCTCTGATGGAAGCAGTGTTGAAATATCCTAGGTGCATCCAGTAGAAAATATCTCCACGAAAATCATAGAATCATAGAATGGTCTAGGTTGGAAAGGACCTTGAAGATCATCGAGTTCCAACCCCCCTGCCACAGACAGGGATATCTCCCACTAGACCAGGTTGCCCAAGGCCACGTCCAGCCTGGCCTTGAACACCTCCAGGGATGGGGCCTCAACTACCTCTCTGGGCAACCTGTCCCAGTGCCTTACAATCCTCAAAGTAAAAAACTTCTTCCTAATGTTTAATCTAAACCTGCCCTCTTCCAGTTTAAAGCCATTCCCCCTCGTCCTATCACTCCATACCCTTGTATAAAGTCCTTCCCCAGCTCTCCTGTAGGCCCCCTTTGGGTACTGGAAGGCCGCAATAAGATCTCCCCGGAGCCTTCTCTTCTCCAGGCTGAAAATCTGCCTTCTCAGAGAAACACCCTGGTGTTGAGGTGGCAGGCTCTGAAATGAGCCTGCTCTTCACTTAGCATTTAATTTCCTCACAATCTGCTTATGGCCAAGGTTCTGCAGCCACACAGGCTTGCAGCTTCTGTCTCCAGAGAGAGTACATCTGACTGCACACTGCCACAAACAATCTAACTGCGAATGGTCTCGCCAAGCACCTTGCTCATGTGCGACATGCCCTCTGCAACACAGCATCAAGGACCCAACCAGTCTCCCTGACCAACATTTGGAGGCAGTGGCATTCTCCATGTGGTGAATCTGTTTGTGGAAAGCTACAACCCTTCCCTCCCCAGAGCCAGCTGCCCTCTCACCTTACGGAGGGTGAGCACACGCTTCTTCGTGCCCACGACACAGCCTTTCAGCATGAGAAAGTCGTTGTTGACCTCCCCATAGTGAGGAAAGCCACCCTGTGGGGAGAGGCAGAGAGAGGGTTGGCAGGCAGGAGAGCAGGATGGGAGCAGATATGTCCACAGGTAGCTTTTTTTAGGGAAGGAGAAGGTAGTAGTGACTGACAGTCTTTCCAGCTAATGACACTCTGCATCCTTCAGGTTGCCTGCTCAGGACCACCAGAGCATGTCAGCCACACTGAGTGCATGATCCCAGCTAAGGAGCACCCCCTAAGAGCTGGGGAACCAGCAACACTGCTTCCTTCCCTGGAGGATGTGGGTGTAAAGAGAGCAGAGCTGGCTAGACCCCCAAGTTAACAGTTTTTAATAAGCAAAAGTGAATTTTTAAACCAAGTAACAAATATTTATCTGTTAAGTATCAGATTTTTGATGTCACTTATAGTTCTTTTTCGTTTTAAACAAAGTAGTCAGTTCCTGCCCACGTTATCAGCTGAAAATGAAATGCTGGGGTATACCGATGGGCCTAAAAAAACATCTCACAGAGATGGTTCTCCATGTCCAAAACTTGAGGAAAGGAATTACTGCAATTCTTTCAGTGAATTTCCTTCAAATCATTTCCTATGCAGCTGCCGTCAGCCAAGGAATTACTTCTCTGGCTCGGATTCCTGTAGCCAGGGCCAGTCACAGCCCTGTTACCCCCTCAGCCCTTACCAGAGGTGTAATGGTCTTCTCTGTGACATCATAGTGCGTTGAGGCATTGTTCTTCACCACTTTGCCATCCTCCACGTGGATCCCATGGCCAATGCGGTAAATCTAGGAACAGAAAGGAAATTGAGATGGTGACTTTCCAACTGTCTCAGTGACAGATGTCACAGGGGGGACATGTTTTTTTACCAAGATGTGCCCTCTGTGATGTGTCCCTTGAGCAGCGAAAAAGCACCAGGAAAGACATGAACAACAGCACCGCAGATCTCTAGGGAAACATCTGAGAAGCTGGGGGTCACAGAGGCTCCCGTGCAAAGCATGGTGACAACATGGGAGGAAGGAAGGCAGGAAGGCACAGTGGCGGTCTGAGGGAGCCCACCTGGTCCATACCTTCTTGTTGAGCTCTGTGCGGTGGTGGTAGCCCTTCTGGCCAGCCCGAGCAATGGAGTAGCCAACCCGGGCCGGGTGCCAGGCTCCGATGCAGGCAACTTTGCGCAAGCCCTTGTGTGTCTTCCTGGGGAGCTTCTTGGTGTGCCAACGGCTTGTCACCCCTGAAAGTGTGACGGGACAGGGCAGTGAGAACACCAGGGAGATTCAGGACTGGTGTCTGAGTGCTGGGGAAGGGAGAATCTCATCATTCTTCTGCAGTTCTCAG